GGCTTGACGAAGTTGCGCCAGCACCATTCTTTTAAAGTGACGGAATGATCTTAAAATTAACAATCTGGCCATGTTGATAAGCATGACGCTTTGGGAGGACTCGAACTCCTTTAAAATCAGGCTAAGTGCAGATATGAATATGATGACAGGTTCAAATAAGCAGCCGTCCTTGGTGGAAAAGGAAACAACTTTATTCTGTGCATAGACTGATAGTAACTTTAGATGGAATGAATGTCAGTGCATTTTACCTAAAATAAAAAGAGTTTTTTACTGTTTGCAATTGCCTCTGTTTTCTTTAACCCTATTCTACTCACCTTCTGATTTTCATTAAGCTCGCATTTTCATAAATCTAACAATTATCCATTCGACTCCAAGCATTCTTATTTACAATACATTTTAAACAAAACCCAATGTAACAAAGTTGTTCCATGTGAGAATGAAGTATCAATAATTCCAATCCCAACACTACTGCCACATTGGATAGGGTTTGACGACGTGATAGGAGTGTATGTTACCTAGGAGGGCGACAAGTGTCACCTCTTAGCCTGTTCATGTATATCTTACCATTGTCTGACAGCCACATAGTCAGAGAGGTCACCCTTTGGACTCCTTCTTCATTACTCATTGTCGTCGTCATCGAACCCCACACGACAGTAACAGTCGACGATTGGCAGTAAGGAGAAGCAGCAGACTGAAGGCCGTACTGTATAAGGGGAAGGGAGACACTTGCCAACATTTTCGATAATTTTACTCAAAGAAATTTGTGCTGGGAGTAGGGTGTGTACTATAGGGGTAATGAAACTGGAGGTAATGGGCGTCAAAGAACAGGGCGATGAAAACCCTTTTACTGGTCGCAATTGTGGATGAGGATTGGAGGAGTGAAGGAGGCGGAGGCAGATGAGGATGCAGAGACAGAGAAGTATAGGTGATTGGTGGCTAGCGTGAAGAAGGAATGCCTGAAAAAGGAATAGGATCTCTAAATCAGTACCAGTTGTGATTTCCTCGATAGCAGTGAAAGCAGTTATGCAGATAGCGTTGGTAAGACGGGAAGAGAAACAAACCTCAAGCTCCGCTTGTACTGAGGTGTACAGAAAGGTCTAGGACTGGACAACGGGATTGCCGAATGCAGCATTGATAGTAGACAAAATGAGGAATTAAGAACTAGGAAGAGTTGTTTGTGGAGTTCAAATTGGAGTGACAAATTTTGTGTATAGTGCGAGCACCACGAAAGCTATTCAAACATTCTTCAAATCACGATTTAGACGTGCAGTCAATTGTTGCTTTATTGATATACGAATTAACTGATTAACTAGCCGGTCAATAATCGATGGTGTCCTAGAACAAGGATGGCGCCAGATGTAAAACTGGTTGTACACGCTGCTGTAGCCGTGGACGTGGAGTATATTTAAAGGCATAAATTGGCGTTTTCTTAGGTGAACAAATAATTGGTTAGTGGAAGGGGTGTGGAAGAAATTGGGTGTAAAGGTGACCTATTGGTAGCAGAGGAATCTTTGCCTGCGTGATCTTCTCGCCATGCCACTCGAGTCGCGATTACAGTGACATGTTATTTGCCAATATAGTAGAAGGGAAGAGAGTAGAATTGAGTAGGACAGAGTAGACCACCATCATATATCACGCTTTTTGATGTTCCCCTCCTTGTTACCCTGCTTGGAATGTTAACAGAAGCCAGGACCATCCACTTGCACTGTCGCAAAAACAGCGTTATTTGAAAGTGTAGTTTG